CTATCTATCTATCTATCTATCTATCTATCTATCTATCTATCTATCTATCTATCTATCTATCTATCTATCTATCTATCTATCTATAATAGTTACATACTGTGTATATTTTGCAAAGAGTGTTTAATGAATGTTAAATCCTTCATAATCGAAGGCTGTATTTACAATATCTAACTGCAGAAATCTTGTGATTTTACACTGTAGTATCTAAGTTGGTGTCTAAACTTGAAAAAAAGATTTTACACAAGCTCTTCCCAAAATATAAAAAGTCTCTGCCAATTATTTTGTCTTTTTCTCTCAGTCACTAATAAAAAGCATGGTTGTTTTTCTCGACTAAATGCCGCCCTCTGTTGGTCAAATGTAAAAATAACAATAAAGTGAATATGCTTGATTATCGAGGGAAACACAGTTTAGTTTCTCTTGTTTTGTCAATGTTTTCGGCACAAAAAAAATTAAGCATGTAAAAAGTTGAAGGACAAACTTAACATTACAAGGATAGGAATATAAATATCTTACAAAATACATAATTAAAAACATCACTGAAAGATTTTAAGTTGGTTACATTGCTTTGTAAAAAAAAATATGTATATATATATATATATATATATATATATATATATATATATATATATATATATATATACATATTTTTGTGTAAAATAAAACAAGCAAGCATGAACTAAAATAGTTGTTGTTGAGCAGCACATATAGGCAATCACTGAAATCGAGTTATTTTCTTTAATGTTCAGTGTTGGTTCACTGTTCATGGGAAATGTACTTTAATTTGTCTGGGACAGTTCACTCAATTCATTCATTCATCAACATTTTATTTTACAATACCATTTAGTACTTTTTTTTATTATTATTGCTTTTTTTATTTTTGTGTTATTCGAATTACTAGTGTGAATTTATCATTTTCTTTAATGTGAGGGGATGTAATCTTTCAAGCACATTTGCATATACATATATATCCAGTTCTCTAGTACAACCTTTTCCTGTCTCTACTAGACAGGAAATCTACACAATTAAATCTTTTGTCCACTTTTTTTTTAATTTTTTTAGACGAAATAATTTATAAATGAATGGATTGATGGAGATCTTTGGGTACATTATCTTTCAGGGTTTACAACAGAAAAGCTTTGAACCATCCATTTTACCTTTAGCTGTATGAATGTTTTTCTCACCCTGTATTTTTTACTTTCATTAATTACATCAGCTCCTCATACCGATAAACAGAACACACTCTTCTTTAAAGGTTTGTGTTTTTGATTAAAATTGAAAGTTTCTATATCCCTTTTTTAATCAAATATTTGTTTGTGGGTTTTAATAGAATGCTAAAACATCAAAAACAATTTTAAAAATCTTTGTTCAATTACAAAAAAAAGCGTTTTATATAGAGTTTATCGTATATTATTATAAATATAATATGAAACCGGAATATATAACATAGCATAACTGATTTATTGATAATATATATTACGAAGGCTATTGTTATAGTCAATATGATGCATTTTTCTCAGGGTAGTCTGTAAATAAATAAATTCCAATGCACAAAATCGCAGAAATGTCTCAACTCAGCACGTTAAAGTGTAGAAACTAATGAGGAAAGCCATAAAAGGAGAGAGGGGTGAAAGTCTTTTTAATTAAGTCTCGCGAGATTACCAATGTAACAGAAGACTGGGGCTTGGTCTTGGAAGTTTTCAGATGCATCTGTAGATGAATCATAACAGCACCAAGATGTCGGGACGATCAGGCCGAGCTGAGACCCGAAGTCGGGCTAAAGACGACATTAAAAAGGTCCTGGCAGCCATCGAGAAAGTGCGCAAATGGTATGTGGGCTTTATAAAGGACAATATGGAGGGGATTGTTTTAGTGGACCGCTGCCTGCTATCTTACTGCGTCGCTCAACAAACTTCAGTCGGAAAAGTTAGATGATTGACAGGGCTTCGGGCCAATCACCGCCTCTGGTTAGCAGAAGAGGCGGGGCTTGTTGAGTTTTTTTCTTCTTCGCTGAGAGCTGTCAATATGGCTCCAGCAGCTTCAACATGCGGCGGGATTCAATCCCCTTAACTGGCCCGTTAGTCTCAGAAAAAAGACATCAATAAACACGAAGGAAAAAGCCACCATTTGTGATCCGCAGCTTTAACTGTCAGGGAGCAGATTAGGTTCTGTCAGATCACACAGAGAATATCTGATCACTGATTGATGCTGATTGCCGTCGAGCAGACGCGAAAGCTGAACGCCTGAAATAATCACGTGCATTTGATCCACAGGGAGAAGAAATGGGTGACTGTTGGAGACACGTCTTTACGCATATTCAAGTGGGTTCCAGTCACGGAGACAAAGCAGGTGTGGGCCACGGCCAGAAACGGTCATCGCTCCGACTTATTTACATAGAGTCAACCCACAGACTGATCACTGTAGAGATCAGTCACAGCAGCTGTTACAATCATTAGGCATAACATTATAATGCATGGTGAGGTACACACTGATCATATTCATGGCATGTGGTAGAGGGTGGGCCTTATTTTTTGATAAATAAATATTGTGCCCTCAGACCAGGGTCGGAGCTAAATGGGGGGCCAGGGGTGGCCATGACCACCCTTAAGCCGGGCGTACTCTGTGCGATTTTTTTCAATCGTTGCACGCAGCTGCAGGATGCTTCAGCTTGGGATGCATGTTCAGCCCGACGATCTGATGCGATGTACCTGCTCACACTGCATGTCTAAAAACCACGTCTGACTCAGCTACGCAGTGAGATGGAGCTGCTCTGACTCGTCTATCTGAAAGCCAAATGAGAAGAAGAGGAATATGAAGCTCACTAGAGTGAAACGCGCTGCCTTGGAAATTTGTGCAATTTTGAGCTGAAAGCCCTAAAAGGCGATGACGTATTTGGACAAAGACATGGCTGAGCAAACGTGGCTACTACAGTCTGACAATTTTACAGAAAGAACTCCATTTCACTCATTGCACCCCTGCCATGCTGCTGTGTTTACATCTGAGAGGTAGAAGGAAAAAGAAGAATCATTGTTTGCGCACTGAGCGATTTGCCCACGACAGTCAGGAGAAAATGAAAAATGTTTGATTTTCTCCTGACCTCACGATTCCACAATCAGGCTGAAAGTCAGCCCGATCAAAAAATTCTCGGACGACTGGAAAATCGCCGCGAAAAAATCGCACACTGTAAGCCCGGCTTTAGCCAATCACTGGCCACCCCTACCAAGTTTTTCCCTCTAATACAGATTGTGGCAGCAGTAATACTCTCAAGGGGAATATTTAAAAAAAAAATTTATTTTTCATCTATTAACAATTTATCGACAACAAAAAGCACTATGGTTAATTATGCTCATCAATATACTAACATTAAAGATGATAGGTACATTATTCCTGCTCTTTTCAGAACTAGATTTTGTGTTTTATGGGGTAAAGCGAGAATTATGTGTCTCTGCAAGTCATTTAGAAGACTTCAGTGAAATAAAAGATATATAACTATTTTGATAAAAACTTATTAAATAATCCATTTATGTAGATATTAGTACTTGTAAATATCAATTTTATGCAGAATGAAAGTAGGTAAGTAATGACAATAGAAAATATGTCTGCCCCAGAACTCAAACCTGAAAGAATTTTACCCACTATAACTTTTATCTAGAAAGCACAAATGTTTAAATATATGCGTCTATTTGTTAGCAACCGCTGTGGGAAAGTATAGTTTGTCTTCATTTTAAAAATGTTGTGCTCGTTAATTTTCCTTTTGGAACAGGGTAGATTGACCCTGAGGTTCTGGTGCTTATCCACTTCCGGCCACCCCTCAGTCTACATTGGTTTTTGTCTGGCCACCCTCATAAAAACTTTCTGGCTAAGCCTCTGCCTTAGACATGTTTTATTTAAAAGCAGGAAGCAGCTTAGCAATGGAAGAAGGATGCACAATAGAAATAAAGCATGCTGATTGGCTCATTGTGACTTTTTTGAGTAATGTTCTGCAGAACATTAAGAATAAATGACCCCATGTCACTAAGCAAAGGTATTCAGGAATGGATTTAGGGACACCATTAAGTTTTGGAGCTGTTATATCGATTTCCCCATATTTCTCATTCTAAGACCATCCCATTAGATCATTGTGAATGCAAAATCTTACAGACACAGTGGAGGCAGCATCATTTTATTAATTGTATGAATGGATCAAGCTATTCACAGGATAGCCCTAAAGGGTGTCAAACATGCAGCCACTTCAACAATACTTAGCATTGAATTGAATAAAGAATTCTTGTTTCTCCTCATATTTTTTTCCCCTACCCAATCTTACTGAGTTAAAGTGATTTTGGAGACAACAATGGACAAATATTTCAGATGTTTAAAGTAAGTAGAAACTCCAAAATCCATATTACCCCTCCTCCTTCTTTTACGGTACACATATATCTGACTTCCTTTTATCTGTCAAATAAAAAAAATCCCAATACATTACACTGATCTTTGTGAATGGATCATGAAAAATGTGCATCCTTCTTCCATTAAAAGTATATTATTTCTATTCTAGTTTGGAAAAATGCTAGAAATGTTATATATATATATATATATATATATATATATATATATATATATATATATATATATATATATATATATATCTATATATATATCTATATATCTCTGGAGTTGAAGGTTTAAAAAATTTATTTTATGGTAGCCAATGGATGCAAGCGCACAGTAAACGAAGAAGGAGCTGCAAAAACATGTGTAGGGCTGAAACGGTTATTTGTATTAATCAGGATTAATTGATTACTTACCGGTAAAAATTATCGTAAACTCATTTAGTTATTTATTAATCGTTAACTGGAATGTAGAGACTCTAAAACGTATCTCTAGCTGACAGAGCAGCTCACTTTGAGCAGCAACTATACCAAAACTGTAAAATAAATATGTAAACATTTTGCATTTAAGATAAAAAACATTTTCCTCTGTCACTATGCTCTATCCAGAACTCCTCAAGGGGAAAAGTTTTAGTTTCACCTTGTTTAATTTCATTTAAAAAAGTCTTCTTTTAGGGACCTTTTGCTATCAGATTATTAATCGATTAATCGAAAAAATAATTCACAGATTAATCGATTTGTAAAAGGGTCATTAGTTGTAGCTAACATGCAAGCACAAAAAACAATAAAACAGAAAAATGCTGCAATCAATAAAGAAATGAGCTGAAAATTGGTGCAAACAAGCAGAAAAACAACAGAACGAGCTGCAAAAATGCAAACACCAAAACACGCAAAAACACAAAAAACCAAATGAAACAAAAAAATGCTACAATCGCTGAAATAGAAGCTAAAACCTACAATCAAACATAATTATAAAAATAATAAAAACCACAAAAAACAAACCATATCAGACCAGAGTGTTACTTATATATACATAACTATGCTCTAGGTCTGTAAGACTGTCACTAAGGTCTCTATTCTTTCCCCAACTTTCTTTAAAGAACAATTCTACATTAAAGCTTGACTTGTGTTTTGTACAGAAGCTCTGTTCCGATATGGTCTCTTCTGTGTTCAACTCTAGTGATCCAAAGCTCTATAATTTAGTGGCTTGAGTTCGCTGCTGATTTTACTATTTGCATCAATGTTTTTTGCTTGCAGCATTATGTTTCCGGTTGCAGCATTTATTGTTTTTATTTTATTTTTTTATTGTAGGTTTTTGCTTCTATTTTCAGTGATTACAGGATTTTTTTTGTTTTGAGTGTTTTTTTTCTGCAGTTGTGTGTTGCAGTTGTGTGTGGCAATGTTTGCCTGCTATGGAGTTTGCATCACACATGTTTTTGCAGCTCACTCTTGATTTGCTCATTAATTGAACTTTATTGAGTGCAATAAAGTTCAATTAATTAGTTACTGCTTGTTTCCGCCTGTTGGCCACTGTAGAATTGGTCCATTGAAAGAAAGTAAACCTTTAATAAGGTGGCAAACGGTTTTTATTGTTTCCTTTTTACACACACACATACACATATATATGTATATGTATGTATGTATGTATATATATATATATATATATATATATATATATATAGTAGTTTCATAGGATTTATGGCTTTGCCCTATATAATTGTATTTCTCCTCTTTGGTCAATTGTTTCAATCGACTTCATTCCTTTCCATTCTTCATTCATTAGATATTTCGCACCAAATCCACTAGTGGAGAGGTCAGGGGCCTGAAAGACGTGGTCATTGAAAACACTAACTCTATGCTGGACTTCACCGGTAGGTTTAATGGTTATCAGGTAATCAGAAAAACACATCTTTTTATAATGAGCTTGTTTTAAGAGTTTAAGAAGTCATCTTATGTGTTCATAGATGAAAACAGCAACCAGAGCTTTCTGTCAGACGTTTATCAGCCAAAACTTGACAACAACAGCAGCAGCACCTCCAGCTCTCAGCAGGTCAGCCCGCCGCACACCTACAGCCTTCGCGCTGAAGACTCTCAGCCACCTATGCTCGGACAAGAGAGTGTACACGGTATGTGGGGTTTGTCTTTAATCAACAGATTCAATCGATTCGAGAATCTGTAGAGTTATGTTATATTCAAAATATTCCAGAACCAGTGCATTCTGGTCGCGACGGTGCAGACGAGCCACCAACGCTCATCAAAGAGGATCTGCTTTCATCAGGGACCGCAAGGCGCAGAACCTCAGATACTCAGGCAAGTCAACTATATGTAAACTATCATAAGCAAAAACAAATGCAAATATTGCTCCTAATTAAATACGTTTTACATATCAAGCGTCTGCTGCATGATGTAGATCTGAATTGTAACCTGATCCTTTTTTCTCTTAACAGGACGAATTAGATGAATCGGGAGCACCGCCTTTAAAGAGGATTTGCACAGGGGAAAATGCTGCCCCCAGATAGCTTTTTTTGTATCAATCCACATGCAATGATTACCTGTTCTTGGTTGTTGTAAGATTAGCAAAGCTTTCAGCATATTTCTGGTTCTCTTTAAAACGCAGGTCTTATGTTTCAGCTGAGCTAAATTTAGTGTTTCGTTTTTGTTTTTTTTTCCAACAGAATGAAGGCAGTTTTCTAAATTTTGTATGTCCTAAGGCATTTCTCTTCACATGTTGTAAACATTGGATTTTCTAAGTTCTACTTTAGTTAGACTCTAGCATGTGCCTATAGCTATTTTTATGAACATACTGGCTATCCTAAAAAAACAAACAAAACAACTTTCATGTGTAGCTTTATGCAGAGTGATGTGGTACCCTTTAGTTTTTAAGTTGATGTTTCTTGTGATAATCTTATGGCTTATGAATAAAAGTGCTTTTTAAAGAAAATACAGTCTATAAATGGCTTTTTTTTTTTTTTTTGGGCAACATGGCTGTTCCTCTAATGTGCTATGCGATTGTGGGCACTACAGAAATGTTCACAGATGTGTTTTGGATACATTTTGAATTTTCAGAATATCGCCATTGTGATCCAGGTTGTGCTTAGCTTTTTCCTTAAAAGAGAAATGTTTATTTCCACAATTATCCCATCTTTTCTCAGGATGAGGGGTTGCTAAAAAGTCTCTGATCCATTTTCTCAGTTAAACAGTTTATATTCTAGACTAAAATTGAAGGCTTTTTGTTTTAGCTAATTCATTTGGCTATGTAGCTGAATTATGATTAAGTAATTGTACTTGGTTAAAGTGCTAAAATAGCTATTTGTCCAGTTTAATTTGAGTACAGATTTTCCTGATAACTTGTTAGTTTTATTTTTTTTATGTTTTAACACAAATATCAGTAATTTATACTAATTTATACTGCTACTTTATGAAAAAATGGTTCATTACTTCGATTAATATAGATAAGGAAATAATGTAGCAACCACAACTAAAGAGAGATAAAAAACAAGATTGCAAAAGAGTCTGTCACTTTGGAGCAGTTTGCTTATAAAAAAAATAAAACCATAAAACAAAGCGAGACAGGGATGAAGACAGATGGCTGGGAAATATTGAAATGATGGATTAGACTCTTAAAATGTAAGACATTCCCCATCCATTTTACCTTTATATTATTTTTAAAAGTTATCTTAAAGTTTTGATGTTATTAGCTGCTGTTCAGTTCAGTCTATATTAAATCTTAGATTTTAATTTACAGCAGTAACAGTAAGTATTTTTTATCTCTACCAGCACTTGGAGAAAAATAGGGAAATAACCATATTTTCCATCAAATATTGTTATTATTTTATCTTTGTCCTCAAGAAAGACAAAAAAAAAAATTGTTAGAACTGTAAATATACAGTCATATGTTTATTACTTTTTAATGTATGTATTACTATTTTTAAGGCTGCCCTTCAAAAAAATGAAATTGTCTAGAGCTGTTTTAAACGAAATGTCTTTTTATATACACGCATGTATACAAAAAGACAAAATAAATCTCTCTGAGTACAGTTTAAATTAAACTTTTTTGTTTTAGAAAGTCAATGTTTTCAGTGGGTAGATTTAAATTCTTTAATATACAGGTATCTTCTTTAGATATAGAATGTGAGTACTTTTAACACCTATGTATGTGGTACAGGAATTATTCATTTAAAAATGTCAACAGCACTGAAAGGAATTAAAATGTTTTAATAAGATATGTGCAGAAGTTTTTATGAAAACTTCAACGATGGATAAATTATATGTTTGTCTTAAAAAATGGCTTATTAACGGCGATTTTTGTCATCTTCATGTTGGATTTTACTATCAGTGTAAGCGCGGTTTATTTAAGGTTGCTGCTGACTAACTGGTGACGACAGAAATGCGCTAGTAGCCAATGAGAGCTCATTAAAGGAATTCAATCAGGGAAGCGACGCCTAAACAGCCAATAGCGTTAGAGAGGGGGCGGGGCATGTGCACGGCGCCGCTTGCTGCCGGGGAAACGGGTTGAGGGCTCTCTTGCCGGTGGACTAGAAACTCCCGCCATTTCGACAGGGAATTAACCTCTTGTTTGATTGGGAACACTTTCTTGTGACATTTACGGATATAGTTTTCAGAGAAATCGAAACCTTGAAATAAGATCTATCCAGCGAAATATATCAGTCCTGGTTTTAAAATACTTTATCGGTACTGTAAAGCGACAGAGATCTGCAACCGATCTCTGGCTGTTGCCGCGAGTTTGATATCGGCGTGGCTCTCATCCTTTCGTGCCTACTGAAGGAACTAAAAGTTTACTAACTTATCCGTCGGAGGAAAGCTGTAACATCTTTTTACAACATCTGGACTCTACTTAAAATCAGGGCCCTTCTGCTGCTATTGAAGCGGAGAATGTTGCGATGAGGCCATTGGTGAGACGCTCACTGTTATTGTTTTGCAACGAGATAGCGAGCCAAGCTGCTAGCTAACCAGCTAGCTTTAGCACGCTGAGAGCCGGGGCCTGCCGGCAATTACGCGAGACGTGCTATAGCTGTGAATATACCCAACTGACACCTGGATACATGCTAACAACTACCACGGGGTGAAATTTTGCTAGTCTGTTGCCAGAAAGTATATTTTAACCTCTGGCACTCGTGCCGTCTTTGGTACCGCCATGGCACCGCTGCTGGGCCGGAAACCGTACCCGCTGGCTAAGCCGTTAGCCGAGCCACCAGGCCCGGGAGAAGAGGTCTACATCATCGAGCATACCAAGGAGGCCTTCAGGAACAAAGAGTATCCTTTAACAACCATGTTTTGAATCAAGATATCAACTCAACCGCTCCATTAGTTGCCTGTCTTTTATGTCCATTATTAGCTACATCTATGGTTCCATTATTTTTACTCGTAGACCTTTAAGGAATTTGACATTACCTGTCATTTCTTTATATGTACAGCATTTAGACTGAATGACAAGCTTGCTAGCTAACCGTGTCACTTCTCTTCTAACTTGTACATTGTGGCTATTCATTAGCAGCTTAAGCTATTTAACATTAAATTAAGATGTATGTGTAGGTTAATGGTTCAATAAATTGGGGGCGAGTGTCTTTCACTTTCAGCTTTCGCGGCTCCGCTGACAGCTAGCCGATGCTAACGGCGCTAGCTAACTAGCTAGCTAACGTTAGGTATCTTATTATGTCACAGTGCTGCTGCTGGCCTGCATCCACAAAGCGGAGCAGCGGTTAGCCAGCCGACCTGTTGGCGCACGACAACCTTATTACGCGTCTGTGCTTGTTGAGGGACACTTTAGTAGACTATCTGGACTCGGTGTTACAATTTACTTGTGTCTGTATTAAGGGAGTCAGTAGCCTCCATCACTTAGCTAGGTTATGTTATGTAGCTAGTTGTCAGCTTCGGGTAGAGCTAAACTTGAGCGCTGTTATGACTCTCAGCTTCATTGTCATGACACATTAGAAGGTCAGTTATAACAGTGGAACAGCTGGGATGCCCGCAAACCAGGAATGTTTTTCATGGTTGTTTTATTTTCTAGCTACTTATTTATTTATTTTTTTCCTGCTCTGAAATGGAGGATTTCTTGTAAACAGATGCTTATCAGCCAATAGGCTTCTCTGCCTTTTCTCTCTCCTTCAATTAAGTCAAACGAAGTGCGTCACAGTGCCTGCTAGAGTTGGAGACATTTAAGGGCAGACTTGTGGGGCATGCTTATTGGAGGAAATCAAAAATCAAATTAATACCTTTTTTAAATCAGTTTTTTTTTTTTTACCTGATTACTTCCCACATTCCTTGCCTTTGGCCAATTCATCACTGAATCTCTTGAAATAATCAATTAAATCAATTGTGCTTGTGGACAACAGCAACACTGCAAATACAGAAAGATTTAGATGCAGGGTGGTGCGATGATAATAAGCACTTTAATAACTGTTTTATATTAGGCTGCTTTTGTTCCAGCCTGGGTTGTGTATAAGATTCCTGAACAAACCACTAACTATCAAGGGTCCTTCTGCATTTTAGGAGTTTTTTTTCATAAGCGAGAATTGATTTACATCATTAGCAAGTAAAGTGCAAATGCACCTCTTAGTGTAGGTTTGCTGTGATCTCTGTGAGGTCTTTAAAAAATCCTTCTTGACAGATTGATCAGTTTCACAACTAAACGTGTCAGAACAATCTGCCAAACACATTTGGCATTTACTTAATCATACTTCAAGACAATAGTTTCTTGTTAGCTGGGTAGGACATAAAACAATTGTGTTAAAGTAACTAAATATGATTAAGTAAATGCCAAAAACAGTTGCATTATTTTTTTGAGTGTATTAAAACTCTTCTGACACTAAGTTCAGGATTGAAACAATTGTCATTTACACTTGGCTGTTTAATAAAAAAAACACATTTGAATGCTGCACTTCCCTTGACAAGATGTGCGCAGAGAGTATGAGGCGCGACTGCAAAGATATAGTGAACGCATCTGGACATGCAAGAGCACAGGAAGCCTCCAGCTTACTCACAAAGAAGCCTGGGAGGAGGAACAAGAAGTCACTGAGCTGTGAGTGCAAGAGGCTTTAATTTAATCTCAGCTGAATGGTTTGTTGTAATAATAATGAAAAGGTTTTTGTTTGCAGTTTTAAACTCACTATCACTAAATTATCAGGAATCAGATCTTTATAAATGATTACAAACTTTCTCATAGTGAAAGCTGGATGGTATGATGGGGAACTTTGCTCCTGCCTGTCAAGACCACACCTGCTCTGTCACAGTTGGACTGATATTTAGCTCCTCCTCTGTTTCTATTTTATGCAATCTCTGAAATATATTATTTAACCTGTGATGGCTACAGGATGTTTTCCTTATCTTTGTATTCCTGATGTCATGACCTTAGAAAGATGTCACAGGACAGACCAGATAAAGAGGTGCTTAGGTTTCCCAGGGTCATAAGCTGCATTTAAACTCTAATTATATCGCCAGAGTTTTTACTCCCCCTAGTGGTCAATGTATTTCTCAGCATCTCCACATAAACCAAACAGTAATAGCTGCTAACTAATTAAAAAGGTTCTATGTTTTGAGTGCAACACCAATTCTGTTGTTTTGTTCCCCCAGGCTCCAGGAGGAGTATCCGCTATGGTTTGAGAAGCCAGTCCTTGAGATGGTCCACCACAACACCGTGTCCTTAGACAAACTGGTGGAGATGGCCTGGGTGGAAATCCTCACCAAGTATGCTGTGGGCGAAGAGTGTGACTTCCTGGTTAGTTTTGACTTTAAAACCTTTTTTATTTCTGTCACATGCATTTTGTTTTAACTGGGAGCATTAGCAGACCCACCTCATTTTGAAACAATCATGTGTTTTTGAAACATCAGTGTTTTATCACAAAAAAATATATAATTATCTTCCTAAGAAGCTGTTTCTGTGAAGTTAATGATGTTTTTTTTTTTTTACATTTCTCTATCCA